TCATATCAACACCTTTCTTCTCAAGAACTCTCCAAAGGAAATCTCTTGGAACCTTATTATACGTTTTTTTCTAAATCAATAAAAATCAAATGTAAATCCTCCTTATTTTCTCTGAACTTCTCCATCAAACCTCTCAATAAATGTATAGCTTCCATAGTAGACCTGCCCGACATAAATCCAAATTGATTATCGGAAATCTTTGTTATGCTCTTAACCTATGTTCAATTACCCTCTCCCATAATTTTAAAGTATGACACATCAACTTAATTCCTCTATAATTTGCACACTCTTGTGCATCCCCTTTATTCTTAAAAATGGGGACCAAAATACTCTTCCTCCACTCCTCAGGTATCTTTTTAGTTTTTAAAACAATATTAAAGAGTTTAGTAAGCCAAGAAACTCCCAAATCTCCCAAATATTTACACACTTCAATTGGGATATCATCAGGTCCTACAGACTTTCCACGCTTGGTTTTCTTTAAAGCCGCCTCAACTTCCTTTTTGCTAATGCGACGGTAAAAATGAAACGTTTTATTATTATTCATGATATTAAAATCACTAAGATCGATCCTATTTTTAGAAATTTGGTTTTCTTTAAATCCTGGCTCTGATGCCATGCAGAATTTTGAAAGAACTTTGCTAGAGAAAAAATTCTCTAATTTCTCATCCATAATAATAGAAGCAAATAAAAAGTATATATACAAGGAAGTGTTTTAATCTAAGATTTCATTTATTAAATGTAATGAATACATTAATATTTTTATTTTTCTAATGGATAAAACACCCACCAAAGTTTTCTCCCCCTACTTAATATACAATATTAAGTTCATCTCGAATTCGAGTCAACTTACAAGCCTACAAGCCAAGCTTTCTTAAGTTCAAAATTAAACGAGCTCAAGTTTTAAGTTTTAGCTTGAATCCACGACTTGATAAACTCGACTCACGAGGTTATTAACGAGTCTAGTCTGAGCTTGCTTGGATAACTTATACCCCTAATTAAGGCCACTAATTATAACTTCAAGTATTTTGCTTCATTTTTCTAATTTTGAAAAACAATCAGGTTTATTTAGTTTTGATCTAGGATATTAGATAGGTAAATATATTTTTAGTAGGCTAAAAATTGATGTAAAAGTGAGCCTACTCAAAAGGTAACTTATTTAAAAAAAAAGAATTTGAAATTAGTCCAAAGCTAACACACCTAAGCTAATACTTTACCGCCCTTAACCATGGATATTGAACTAGCATGCAACATTGTCAAACCATGCCAAACATTGAGACAAAGAGATGAGTCGAATCAATCCGGATTTCCTTTTTATGTCTTATTTCTTATTATCCTGAATTTCTTTTTAGACATTTCCTATATATTTATTGTATTAAGGTTTGAAAGTCAATTTTTCACATGTTTTGTATTGGGACAGCCACTAACATCTCTTCTTCCCTTTAAGGGTTTTCTCCTAAGGTTTCAAGTAATATTTCGGCTATAACTTAGTCTCCAGGTGATGTTTATCCTTTCCCAACTTCTTTGCATCTCTTCTGACTCACTTCCATTCAATCCTCCTCACTACCGACTGGCCTGACAGCAGCCGTTCTACTGTTTTCCTACAGTTTCCTCGCATTCCAGCCCATTTCCATGCTGCCCCCGCCGAGGACAGCCTTTCTTTGGTTGTCCGACAATCCACCATAACTGTTCCAGCCCTCCATATTCACTGTCGCTGTTGTTCCAGCACTCCATCCTCACTACCGTTGCTGTTCCAACCTTCCTCTGCTGCCATTATCCCGGATAGCCGTGTTATGTCGATAATTGTTGCGTACTTGCTGTTTAAAATCCGAGAAGCCATTGCCTTGTTTTTTTTAGCTTGTCAACCACCTTCTCCACTATCCCACCACCTTCCAAAACCTCACCGATCATTACCACTACCACGAGATCCACCCAAGTTTGCATGTTTGTATCATATTTGTAGCTATTTCAAATTTTCGGGCGTCGTGTTGTTGTATTTTCCCTTTCAAGTGCGTTGATTGTAACCATCTATTTGTTTTCGGTAATAATAGTTATTTTTCCTTTTATGATTGCGATCAACTCCAATATCACTTATTCTTTCTTTTCTTTATAACATTTTTTTATAGGCACGGTCTATTGAGTGGGCTAGTATGGTTAATTCACATATATTTGATGTAGTACTAATTTTTTTCATGAGGACAAGAAGACTTGACTCCTTGTTGGAATTTTTTAGATCATATCTGCAGAAGGTGGACAAATATACTATGCTTTTTCACTTTTCTTGAAAGCCCAAGTTTTTGTCATCCTCTATAGAATATGGCATTTGTATCTTATAAATATGACTACTTAGAATTATATGGCATAATTCTGATAGTAGCACCTCACAAATTATCTTACCAATAAAATTTTGCAATAAAGAAAACTTAAAAGCATATTGTCTGGTGAGTTATGGATATTAGTTTTGAAATCTGGTAATAGGATTTAAAAACTAAGAAATGACTAATCCAATCTCTTAACCAAAGTTGTAGAAAAAAGTTTCTTTTTACTACATGGATCCAAAATAGCTTCAACAATGGTTTGATTTCACCAAAAGTTTAAAGTGAAGCAGTTCTTTATAGCTTCTTCCAGGCATGTGCAAGCAATGTCAAGGATAATGAAGGATTTGTATGTCACTCTTACCTTAACTACTTCTGCAATTATGGCAAGGCTCATTTCTTTTTATTTTCCCATTTCTTCATCTTAACTTGATATAAATATTTTGATTCATTTCAAATTTTTGGCCTTTAAATAGGGAACATGATTTAATTTAAAATCAATCATTATCATTGCATAATTTTATGGATAACATTATCTTCCCTAAAAGTAGGCAGCCTACTACAAACATAATTAAATCTATTCAATATCATTTTAATTTGATCATATCAAAAGCTATTTGACCAAATAAGGTTTCCTTGATTAACTTACCATACATTATTTAGCTTATTTCAGCATTGCACTCAACCTTGCCGATTTCATTCTCCCAAACCTTAATCACTACGAATCTAATTAAGATTATATATCATTAAAAACTGCTGGGTTACAGAACCACTCTACGTAGTTCTAGATTTTATTTAAATCAAGTTCAAACCAATTCAATTTTGAACTAGTAAAAATGATCTTGAGCTAACAAGAATGTACTTCCAACATTTAATATTTTCATGTAGCAGACAAAAGATGAATTAAATTCAACAATTTAATTTGCAATGAAACCAATGAATGGATAACATAAGAAAATCTGAATTCAAGAATAAGTTTATAACAGCATGATGGCACATGCATGCATTCCGGATGAAGCTGCTTTGCTGTTTAGAACAATGTAATCACACTTTAAGCCTAACTTATTTAAAATACATTAAATAAAAAGATATAGTTCTAGACGTCGTAACCATATATGAGTATAATTGTAACAATAAATGAAGTTCCTAAACCATATAACTGTAAGGAAATTCGGAACTTATTTTATAATACAAGCAACAAATAAATTAGCGCAATCCCTTGTGAAAATTGCCTTGTCACAAACACTTAATAAAGATCCTTCATCATTCCAAGGAGTCCTAATATGTTAATACTTAATATGGACACTTTCATTTAAGTTATCCTTCCTAGTTCAAATAATATAAAAAAGGAGGAGAAAAATATCAAATTAATAGTAGATACATACTTCTAAAAAGGTGATTCTCCAAACTTCCACGAGGCATAAATTCATATGCCAGCAACCTTTGGTCATCTTCGATACAATACCCAATCAACTTAACTAAATTTGGATGGAGAAGCTCGCCAAGAAAATAGACTTCAGCCTGCAAGCCACAAAGGTATTTTATATCTGAATCAATGGGAATTCAGAAAATGGGCAAATATGAGATAAAAGCCATGACCAGTGGGCCAAATACAGGAATTTTAAAAAACTGAAAGGTAAGTAGTCCATACCAGCCACTCTTTGTGCCCTTGTTGACCATCATGATTAAGTATTTTGACAGCAACAGTGAGCCCTGTACCAGGTTTCACAGGAGCAGTTCCATTTTCCTCAATCCAACCTTTGAAAACACGGCCAAATCCTCCCTCTCCTAGAAGGCTTTCTGGTCTGAAGTTCCTTGTGGCACATTTAAGCTCATTAAAAGTGAACTTCCTTAGCTGCAAAGCTAAACTAAGGTCCTCACCAACTCTAGAAGTTGATGAACTACTTTCTGTGGTGCTGGTTGTCGTTGACAATGAGGCTATTGGTGAAACTGGTTGAACCCTGCTCCCATCGTTTGCTGATTTGCTTGCTGCATATCAACGAAAAGTGTACTAAAGTTTAAGCAGAAGAACTTCAAAATAAAAGAACAATGCCCCTGCACAATTCTTAACGTGAAAAGTGCAGAGCATGTATATCTAGGGGAAGTTAATAAAAGAGAAGTTGTGAATAGTGAAAATTAAAAGAAAATACTTTTATCGCACCAATATCCATCTTTTGAGCAAATTATAAATTTAATTCTATCGACATACTTAAACAACCAAGCATGCATGCTAATGGATCAAAAAGTAGTCATTGATTTGAAAAACTTTTAACTGACCAAAGGTCATGATGTAGTCATTAAGATTTATTTGGACGTAAGAATAACACAAGCAAATTAGACATTTTCCAAACTCAAACTTTTACACTACAAGAGAGACTAGATAAAAGTAAGCAAGTCCAAACCAATTATATGATTACGAAGGATGTGAACATATATAAATAATTCAATTCAGTGAGAAAATATAATCATCTAAATTAAGTGTTGTTAAATCTCACAACTTTCTCAAGTTTGATGTAGGCATAGAAAAATCCAAATTGGTGATTAAGCATGGAGATGAAGAACATGGCCTTAGAATTTTCACAAAAACTAAGACTGAAATAAATGAAAATATAACGATATAAGCATTTATAGCATGATTTATGTCATCCCGGGCCTCTTATTAGCAAAAGACCAATCTGGCTTAGCATGAAGCAACTGCTGCAAGTCAAGAAAAGGAAAGCACATAGCATCTAGAGATCACATTACAGAAGAAAAAAAAATATATAGAAATAAACAAGTTGATGATGCCCCAATATCAACCGACAAATTTATCAAGGAATTCATGAAAAAATGAAAAAAAAGTAATATCTGCTCTAAAATTTTAATGAAAGCACTGGTTTCCAGGAAATTTTTTTAAGAGCATCTTGTTAACCTTGCAATAACAGATGCTTTGACATATGTATCCCATGGTCTCATGTAAGATTTACCATAATTTAAAAAGGCTTGTACCTTTTATAAGTTCAACAGCAGCCATACATCTGAATCATGGCATTAACAACTTTTTGTATGCCATTTAATAAGAAAGACAAGAGAAGATTTGTTGAGCATTGAAGCAATGACCAAATTGATAATAAATTTCAGCTTTATGATTAATGTTTAAAAACCGAAAAACTGGGACGAAGAACTTGACCATCTAGCAAAGTGAAGCAAGGGCTTTAAAACATAAAGAGTGAGCTTCAGGAAAAATTGTTTAGTAATTGGTACAAGTAAATAAGCTCCCAATAATAACCTCCTTTTTATGTTTTATTCAAAACATTCTAACCAAAAAATTAAAAAGGATAACTGTTTAAGGAACAAAAAATCCAACAAAAGTAAGAAATATCTAATAAAAATCCGAATAGGGTGTTTGGGTGTAAGTAATATTTAGCATTAGTAGGATTTAGTAGATATGTTAAATTCACCCTGCTCCTGGATTTAGTAAATCTGGATTTAAGCAGAATCAAAGGCAAAATTTGGGATCCTAAATGTCAAAATTTACAAAAACACAAAACTCTGGTATTTTAGTGTTTGGCTTGATTTAGTAAATCCGATGATAAATCCTATTAAAGCGCTCCCAAGCACCCACTAAGGGTGCCCTCTGCACGCTTTATCTGTTCATCAAGGATCATCAACTTAAGCTCACAACATATCAGAACAACAAAAGCCTCTAAAAAAATTCTATGCTGTTTCTCGCAGACCTTCAGTAAATAAGAGAGCAAGCCTTTAAGGCAAAGCCCTATCAAGCAAATAAAGCATCATTAACTAAGAGAAAGCAATGCTAAACACGACAAAAAACAGCATGTGCAATGTTACCTAGTGAAGTTTACAAAAAAGAGATTTGCAAAAGCTCTCATGAAATTATAAGAAACGACAAAGTAGAGCCAAATCCCAAACCAAGATATTGTGTTTGTTAGGCCATTACCACAAAGCGTGATTCCTCTACTAATGGAGGTATCCACCTTTGATCTCGAGGAAACCATTCTCCCTCTTAAACTAAAACTCATCCAGCACCCTGTCACCTCCCCAATCTTCTTCTTCTTCTTCTTCTTCCCTTTATCGCATCTCTCATTGGCTCCAACCACGTCCGAACCAAGTCCCATCTTCAAAAAACACGAGTTCCCACAACCGCATCAGACGAAGCAACCCCCTAATAAATTATGTTTTCCGCCTCCCTCACCGTCAAGTCTCACTTTTCCCTACTACATACGAAGCTACATTCATCTCCAAAAGCAGCAATCTTCCATCTGGAAACAACAACCCTTCCTCGGCGAATCCGCCAAAAAAACCCTAACCAATTTGGAAGAATCCAGCCGAGAAGCTCCTGACAATAAAAACATAAGAAGACGCCGTCTCTTTGTCCGCCTTTATTTGTCCCGAGCTGAAAACAGAGAGCTAGAGTTGGGAAGAGAAACTAGAGGAGAGAAGACCAGGGGACTGGAAAGCGGTGAAATTTGCAGTTAGAACTGGCGAAAAAAAGGAGGAATTGGCAGCAAAACGAGGAAGGGGAAGGTGTTCGTGCGGCGCACGCGCCTATGCGCGGATTGCGAATTATGCAGGGTGGCTGTAAAAATGCTCTCCCAAGGCTCCATTGGGACCGTTACGAAATATAGACGCCTAGCTTTGTTTCAAGTTTCTCAGCCATTTGGATGCGCGCGTTACAATTCATTGAACCAAATAACTTAAATGCATTTCATTTGTCTTCTTTGGAAGCTTTCAAATTTCAATTAAGATAGACATTAGGAAAAATATTTTGAAGATTATAGCTTCGATTTTAGAATCATTTAATTTCATTTTTCTTAGGTATGATATACTTTTTAATTAGTTAATTCAATTTTTTATTTTTAAAATGTATTTATTGATTCTAAAACATAAAATTAGGCCTAAATTGAGTCTGTCTATATGATCTTTGAGTTATTGTGAGAGTATTTGATTAGTAATATTAGTGTGAGATAATATTCCAAATGTTTAGATAATGTGTTAACAGGAAGAGAGAGAAAATAATATTATTAGAAATCAACTAATTTTCTCAACCACTCATGATAATGTCTCTATGTTTACATAAAATTATAAGTTTATCTAACACTCCACTCATTTTTTTCATGTATTATTGTACAACAAAACTGTTTTCAGGACTTGGGTTTATAGTTTAATATAATTTATTAAGGCTAACTAAAACTCATCCAGGTGAAGATGAACTTATCAATGCCTTTATGAACTCATCAGAGTGTATTCACTCCAATTTATTAGATTGAAACTTATAAGCTATTTGTTCATATTCCCTCATCCAGAAAGTTAACAACTTCATCCAAAAGGCTAGTATAAAAAAAAGTGCAACATTAGTTATTAAGTAAGCCAATGTATTGATCTTCCAAATTCTAATATAGATAACAATTCTAATGAGGCTATATGTCTCATATGCTTAACTACAAACTACTAATGAATATTTTCATGTAATTTACATTTTTATAATGTCTAAGTATGTAATATTTTCTAGTGCTACAACTTTGATCCAAGTTTATAAATACAAGATTGTAGGAAGAGCCCATGCTATGCAATCTCTTGTAATAAATCCCATTATAGTGAACTCATAATTTCTCACTCAAAATTTTGTTTCTCTATACTCTTTTTTTCCTCTTTTTTTTTCTTGGTGTAGCTTTTAAATAATTTTTAATCCAACTTCTTAAAATTGTGTCATAAGCATAGGCACATGCTAAAAACTAGAAGAGAAACACTCAAAACAACAAAAGAACAAGACAAAGTGACATCACTCAATATAAAAAGCTAAGATTACATAGTCAAATGAGAATGATAGAGATAAAGGAACAAATTAACATGTTGATCCAAGGAATTTAAAGAATGTTCTCAAAGCAACACTCGAGGTGCAAACACTAGAATAATCTTTAAAATATATTATATAAAAGAGGCATTTGAGTGCAAGACTATTATTATAAACCTTAAATATTAATGATATTTATTAGCCATATAGAATATCCATTCTTAACCATGTAGAGTGGAGGGATAGGTTGAGAAAAAGGTGTTGTTGACTAACACTTTTTTGATAGAGCTTATCGAGATAAATCTCATACAAAATTCAAGGTCCCCAACCTAAACTTTCAAGGGAATTATTGATGTAATGAACAATTTCATCATATTAGAATCTAATATCTCTCCACTTAACATTACTAGTGCTTTAAAGTGCAAATTAATTTTACTACTTTTAAAAAGTCAGCTCTCGAGAGATTCCCATGCTTGTCTCTCTAGATAATTACTTCATTTCCTTAATTCAAGAGGTTATTTATTAAGTAATTTATCAATGCTCAAAGTCAATTAAAATACTTATATTCATTATTGAAGATAAGGCAGGAACTAGGCGACTCACTTAGGAGCTTTATTGTAAGATTGGATGTAAAGATCTTATAACCAGCTCAAGCTTCATAAACTTTGGCTTGAGAGAAAGCACTTATACACCCTCAACCCAAATCAATAGAAAAAATTATCTAAACATTTACAATTCACCAATGGTCAGATTAATACCAACTATTACAACTTTGAGTCAATACTATAACTTCAAATCAATTAAAAAAATTCAAAATGATGGGTTAATTTAAATGATTTCCGAAAAAATAATGAAGTAGCTTAAAAATTCTAAGAGTATGGGATAATTTAAAGCAGCTATAGTGACACCACCAGATAAAAATCAAGGAAGAAAAACATTTCAAAGTGATAATAAATGAAGAAAGAGAACTCCATCTAGTACTTAAGCATATTTTGATGGTTGAATTATTTGAAACCATTCAAGACAATAAAATCTTCAAGAAAATAATTCTTATGAAAGTTGAATGCCAAACATAAGGCCCCTCAAAATATAGTGACTTTCATAAAGATCATAGACAAAATGTGGAAAAATTGACAACTTCTAAGAAATATGGCAAAAGAAGTGATCAAGCCAAAAAAATTGAAGAATTTATTTTATATAACCTTAGGAGAAGGTTAAAAAAAAGAAGAAATTAAAAGGTGGAAAAAGAACTGACCCTATACATGTAAAAGGAACTCATAACACATAAGTCATACTTTATTGGATAGAAGAATAATTTTCTAAGTGAATTAGTCTTATATAATAGATAGAAGAGCACATCCTCAAAATCAAGAGTTATGGATGCAAAAGTGATGCTTATAACATTCTTTAAAATAGATAGGCCATTGAAGATCAATCCTTATAATAAATCCATTATTATTGATATAATAATTTTAAATTATTAGATTAATAATGTTTAGATTAGCATAATAAGCTTAGTAAATATTATTTTTAAAATTTTCATTGAAAAGATAAATATTTAATTTTTAAAGTAAAAAAGAAAAATAAAAGCTATAACGTCACTGCTAATCACTTCTGGGAAAGTAAGAGGCATTTTATTACAATTGGCAATTTTATCATTCTTTATGCCTCAACAACATATAATGTTATTTTTGGTTGACTACTCTATCAATTACATCCAAAAGCATGTTATTTTAAGGTTGTGAGAAATTTTCAAAAAGCCATTTTGAAGGAATCCAAGCTCTAACCTCAAAGTAATTGAAGAACTACTAGCTTTTTATGATACAAATCAAACTTTCCATTTCATTACTTTTTTTAATGAAAATCATAAGGCTGAATTCATTAGAACATTCAAAAGAAAGTGAAAATTTTTTCCTTATCAATAGGTTAGGGATCAATATTAATGTTTCTTATCACAAGGTGATTAAGTAATGAGATTGGTTATTTACTACAACAGTATCTATTGATTTACTACGAATTCAAAAAATGTTTGTAGGTGGGATTCATTAGAGAGGTATAGTACTCAAAAAAAAATTTTAAGATGTTGTTGGTTCAAAAAAGAGGTATCATACATGAATTTCATTCATTTAAGCTTAGCTTATATTAAAAAAATTAATCCTCTTCCAAAAATTGATGTTTCATTTTGCTATAATTGACTTTCTTTTGAAGAGCCATTTTAAAACATACTTTGATATTATAAAATTAACATGCACCTGATCCATCCCAGCAATAATCATAATAATGTAATTCCTGCTAATGACACTAGAAACTTGATCCACTCCCTAAAAATAAATTGAGTTATTAAAATTAATATTATTAATCACTTAGGTTTCTCACATAAGTATACATATCGTTTTAGTAATATAAAGCTTTATTGAGTCTGAATTGTGGATCCCATAAGGAAGGAGGTAATGAGTCTTTTAGGCAAAGTTCAATTTTATTATGTTAAGGTCTTAGTTGAAATGCAAATTAAAATGATTTTTCTAGCAATTACTCTTAAGCTATAACACTAAGTTATATCAATTGGTTTGGTGAATATCAAGATATAAAAGCTAGCTTTCTCTTGTGATTGCCTAAGTGGAATGTAGGATCGAATACCAAGAATTTCTAATATGCCTAGTGACAAATAGAAGCATATATCTTATTTACCCTCTTCCAAGTGCATTAAGGAGTTTGGTTTAACTTGGTAACTATTTTTGCATGTCCCCCTAAAATCCCCTAAGTTATATCCATTAAAACGTATCTCCCTATCTATTTGCATTGCCTTATAGACTACTTCATCATAGTCTATAAAAAAATTGGATCACCCTAGTTGTTTATGTCATAGCTCTTTCGAGTTTATATGGGCTAACAAAAAAAATTATCACTTTATATGGCCAGTATAAAAAGTAAATGAAGCATAGAAGAAAAAAATCATCACATTAGTATTAAAATCCAATTCTAAAGCATTCAACACATCCTACAATTTCTAACTATTCATCACAATAGAAGGGTAAAAGGATCTACTCACAAAACATGAAGATTGCAATGAAAATCATTATCATTTAACATAACAATTAAACTAAATATGTGTTTACAACATGTTCAATACAAATAGAAACATGATAATTATCTTCCCTCTGAAAAATAGTTGAAAAGTTTCCCCAACGATGAATCCATGAACTCCCTATAATGCTACAAACTTCCCTTACAAATATCTCTCAAAACCCTCATCAATCTCTCAATAAAGGTAAAAAACTACAATCCCTGCTTTTATCTACAACCTTTCGGCAATCCTGGAGTATTCCAGGACTTGTATTCCAGGACTTGGAAATGTCAAAAAGTGTCTATAAAAATTGTAAAATCCGTCAAATAACTCCCCTCATCATGTTAAAACCGCTCTGTCAAGTATTAGCGCCTTAGGGTCCAGACTGTGGTGCCTAAGCACGACCTTCTCGAGTTGCCTGAGAGTTTCTAGTGCCTATGAACCAGTTTGCTGGACTAAATTTTGCTCCATTTTGCCTCCACTTTGCTCTGTTCCATTTCTGATTCTCCCCATGTGTCTTACCTATTATACCTGGAAGAAAAACACAAAAATATCATTCTTTAAAGTGTAGTTTTATCCAAAAATAAGTGTACAAGACAAAGGAAATTAAGCATGTTGAAAGACATATCAAAATCTCTCAAACTTAAACGTTACTTGTCCCCAAGTAACTCTACAACTTTAAAAATCAAATTTTTTGATTTGAGGTAGTAGGTTTCTTCAAGATTTCCTACAATTTTGCCTCAGAAATGTCATAGTGAAACCTAGGAGAAATTCTAGTGAATCGAGCTAGGACTAGGGTAAAAGCATAT